CAGAAAGTAATGTACAGGTGTCAAGAAAGAAGTGCAAAGTAGTAGGGGGATATGAAGGCAGAAACTGTACTGCTTTGAGATGATAAAAGTTTCAATAGAAATTGAAATCTGAAGTTGGCTTCTTAGATGGGATTTCAAAAATGGATACTGGGGCTGTGAACAGTGGAGAGTCACTCAAGGAGAGAGAAGAGTGAGGGACCTCAGAAAGCTAGGGAAGGATGCTGCATCTATGGTCTGAACAGGAGGCTGATGGAGCACGAGGAAGTAGAGAGGGAAGCAGAAGGACCCTAGGAAGTTCCTGTGAATGGTTATAGCAAACAACTGTCGCAGGAAGAGCCTCTGCAAAGGGAGACAGAACAGTTGTCCAAGCACAGAGGAGGTGGACCCCACATTGCCAATTAAAAGGAAACTATGGTCATCCAAATATGTTGAAATAAGGAGTTTGGGATTAACTGCATTCTATAGAGAGATTATATTTATTTGGAGGAGATACATAATGAGAAAGGAAAGTGTTACTAGAAGGAAATTTGGTGGTTTCACTGGACAGACTTATTTATTCTTTACCAAACCATGACAATTAAAAATGCTGGGATATTAATAACTTCTGGGACAGTAACAGTTCACACTGGCACAAGAATGTACATGGAAATAGATGTATGGCAACCATGGAAAGATGGGTCTGGATGCCAGGCTGATCTATTTTTGTGTTTTGGTTCTAATATTTTCAGAATTTCTGGGTTGTTTTTCTTCATCTATAAAACAGGACTGCTCTTACCTCTCTTGCCCGGTTGTTTCAGAAATTAAATAAAATGATGTATTTAAAGCGCAGGTACTTAGTAGGTGTTTGATAAGTGCTAATCTCTTTCCCCTCTTTAATAACCTGATGTGTATTTTCTAGTTAACTTGTAGAGGGAAGTTTAACAACATTCTATTCCGAGAAGCAACTAAGTTTTATGTACTGCCGAGACAGTTGTTTCAGCTGAGGAAGACAAACTTCAAGACCTCTACTAAAACATAAAAATTGATGTAAACTCTGTGGAAAGGAAGGCAACATCTATGTGAACTATTTAAGAGAACATGATAATAAAAGGGAGGAGAGTGCAGCTCCACTGGTTTCCAGAACTGGAATGGAACTGGAATTTAAATAACCTGGCTTGTAATACC